GCTGGCTAGGCCTGATGCCCTGGTTGTCCCGCTCATGCCTTGTGAGCACCCTCAAGATGAACCGCTCCATAATCTTCCCTGGCACTGAGGTCAGGCTGACAGGCCTGTAGTTCCCCGGATCCTCCTTCCGGCCCTTCTTGTGGGTGTGCGTCACATGGGCAAGCCTCCAGTCGTCCGGGACCTCCCCTGTTAACCAGATATAAGCATACCTGTCTGTTTCTGTTTTTCTTCCATGGATTTTTAACTTTGTAGCCTTAAATACGTAGCAAGGAATGCATGAATGTTAAAAACAGTCTTGGAGCTCACTCAGTTCTTTCAGCAAATAGCATGTGTTAAAAAAAATCTGAAAGCTATATAGATTTATGCCTAAGACTATTTTATTTATAGTGACAACGGTCAAGAACTGTTACGTACTCCAGAAGATGCCTGCAAAGGTGGAAGATACACAGTTACAGGGAAATATCCCTGTTCTTCCAAAAAAGAAAATGTAGGAAGTAAAGAAGAAGCAGTCTCAGTACTCAAGTGCTGGAGGTCACTTGGAACAGTGAAGCCATTGGCTTCTGTGCAAGCTCAGAAACTGTTTCTCTTCATCCTTCGAGGGCCCTTCTCATGGGCTGCTGCTGTGGAGGCAGCAGTTCCTTTCTCAAGGCCAAGGCAGGACGTGTGTTTCTGTTTCTTCTGGGTGCTGTTAATATGGCTGAGCCTTCCTTGTGATTCAGTGCTGCTGTGAAGGCAGTGCTGCTTCCCTCGTGCTGCTGTGGCCATATGTCTTTCCTCTCCCCTTGTACCACTCTGGCGCTGCCTTGACCGTTCCACAGGAAACTATATCGGCAAAACCCCCCAAAACCAGGCTTACGGAGCCAAGCTGGGTCACCACATAGCCAGGTGGACAGCAGAGAGAGTGTAAGTGAGGAGAGAGAGAACGGGAGAGCAAAATCTACCTGTTTGCTGGCAGTACATTTCATTTGTTTCATCCAACCATATCCTTACTGGGACTGAGGACAGTAAGAAGAAGGTGACAGTGAGGCGGTATCCCCTTTTGGATTCATGCTGTAGGCAAAATCAAGGTCAGAATGATGAAATTCACCTCTGTCATTTTATCACTAAGTCTATGAGGTTGCTTTGCCATAGACTTCTCTTTCCATGTACTTATAATGATAGTTTGGAGGAAATACCTCATTTCTGCTAAATGGCATTATTACTGAGGTTTGGCCTCTGGCCTTGGCACCAGAACGGTGAATCATTTAAGATGGGTGCAATGTTTTTGTCTTCCAAGCGAATTTTAGGAGGAGCAAAATTTAGGTGCCCCTGGTCTATGAGGGCAGTAAAAAAAGACATTCTTCTTACAAAGGCACTCTCACCTGGTTTTGGATTGGCCCGTTCTCCTCCTTGTCAGTAGAAATCAGGGAAAGAAAATAGTTTCCTGTACTTTTAAATTTAGCATTTGAGAACATCTCCCTCTAAACACTTCAGAGATCTAACTTGTTTTGTGAAAAAGGCATTGCGTGTTTCAAGCTAGGATTAAAGATAATATGAAAAAACTCCAACTTCACTCAAAATAATTATATTAATCAGATAAAGCCATATAGTTTGAAAATTACAAGATCTGCCAGTTTCAAAAAAAACGTTAAAACAAATGCAGTACTTTTAGGCAGAATTTATGGAATAAGCCATCCTGAGAAAGCCATTTACTAAAATGAAGATGAGACTTTGGTTTGCTTAGAGAAAGCTCCTGTCTTTCAGGAGTAGTTTCTTGATTCTCATCCAGAAAGTCTAAATGTCACAGAAAAAACCTTACTTATTGCTTTACTTTTTAAAGATCCCTAGAAGGTGTTGCTTTCTTGCACTGAAACTTCCAGCAGAGGGAGCTTTACTATTACATTTAGTAGAAAAACAGCTTTACTAAATATTTTTAATCTACAATCTGAAAAAGTGTGAGACCGTTGGGGGGGGGGGGGTTAGGGTGTAATTTATCGGAACAATTTAAAAGGGACAGAAAGGGCAAACCCTTTCCTAGAGAGAACATTTCCATATGTAGTATTACAGTATTTCATCATGGTTCCTTTGAAATTGGAAAGTTCAATATAAATTATTAAGTGTACTATGGCAGTAATATGGAATCTCGTCTGTTCCCTGCTTTCTCCTTCCCTGACAGTAGTGAAGGATTAGTTTGGGGGAATGGTAACATAATTTGGTTTTAGTATTTCTCCAGTTAGTGGCTGCTCTGAGAATTTGGTCGCACAGTATAAACTATTTTTGTGGCACTGAAACTTACTTTGCTGTACCAGTGACCTCGTTTCCTTGACACAAAGAAGTGCTCAAAAAGCAAAGATTCTCTGTCGATTGTCATTCCACACAGTCAACTGTGGGTACCCATTCCTCTCTTGCTTTTGAAGGTGGTGAGATTTTTGACCTGATGGCATCTGTGCAGCAGGAGCAGGCATGCTCTGCACCATATTCATGACAATGATGTAACGATATATTGCTCCCAAGTCTCAGTTCTTTTCGCTTGACATAGAATATTTTTTGTCCTTCTCAATCCTTCACAGGTTTTCATAACAATTTTTCAAGTTTTAATTAGTACTTCTCTAGCTTTTCCTTTGATGCCTACATGCAGAAAAAAAAGGGGCAAGGGATAAAATTCCAGGAAAACTTCTCCTTTTCCGAAAAAAACTTAGTCTTTGAATTTCCCTTTTCAAGCATGACCTCATCAAGATTTCCAAGCTTCACAGTCTTCCTCTGTTGTGATGGAATGCCAGGGATGGACACACCAAGAATCTTTATTGCTTTGGAGAAGCTCTCGTTCTTTTTCCTGGCACAGACAATCCATTAAATGGACAAAATGTAAATGTGGAAAGATTATTATTCTGTCACAAGATAACACAATTATAGTGTTCTCTGTATTTAATGCAGGGCTGATTTGGTAGCCGAACAGAATACTGAAACCTATTCTGTTATTGTTCCAGTTTCTTCCTACACACAAATTAGTATTGGTTTGAAAAGGTCTAGTCTATTAAATTTAGGGTTATACAGTGTACATGCAAGTAACCAGAAATTAAGATGAGACTATTGTACTTGAAAATGCACATATATGTAAACACTGTGGTCTTGAATTAATTGCAGTATGTGAAGTCCCATAAATTTTTTGTTAGTTGATATTCTGCGTACATGTGACCAGTGGATTATTTTGCAGTTATGTTAGAAAATATATTGCATATTGAACCATTCAAAATTCTTCTCTGTATATATTTTAGTGCTTCATTGCCTGTTTTTTATTTTGTTTTATTTTGTTCTTAATTGATAAATTTAATTGACTAGTTGGTACATTTTTTAATTGGTAAAACATTGCTTTTTGACGCTGATGTCATTTGACTTTCACTTGGCTAATAGAAAGCAGGTTATAATGTATATATAAGCATATTTGTTGTTAACTTTGCCTGTACATTTTCAGAGACAGATGTATATACTTTTGGACTTGGACAATATGGGCAGCTGGGACATGGTACTTTTATTTTTGAAACTTCAGTACCGAAGTCTGTGAAACACTTGAAGAGGCATAAAATATGTAACATTACATGTGGGGAAAATCATACTGCTGTAATTGCAGGTATGTAAGTGAAAAATTCTGAAATGCACTTCCAGTGACTCTCTATTATACTGTAAAAGCTTTCTTATAAAATGAGCAGTAGAAGAAGACATATGCAGACTTACTAGTTCTAGAGGTTAAGTGAGCTAGTGAGAAAGACAGATTTGATATTAGGAATTTCTGATTCACAGCCGTGTCATGCATAGTTCTGTACATGGTATCTCCTGGGGAATTGTAACCTCATAATCATGCCTTGCTAATGAGTATTCTTGTTTAGAAGCCTTTGCTTTGCTATACAATTTCAATCTTAGTGTTTTGTTGTTGGGGGTTTTTTTCCAAAATTGTCTAGAAGAACTCTAATCTCCAACAGTACTTTGTCTGAAAATATATATATTTGGATCATATTCATCTGTTGAAAATCTGAAAATAATTGTTCAGGTTTTGCTTTTGGAAGAGAAATATTTCTTACTTGCATGGCCTGTTACTTTGTTTGTAATGGTTTTATCCTGGTTTTATACTGAATCTTTGTTATTAATAACATCCTTTTTTTTTTCCTACATACAGAGAATGGCCTCATGTTTACTTTTGGAGATGGGCGACACGGCAAGTTAGGACTTGGAGAAGAGAATTTTACAAATCAGTTTGCTCCTACTCTGTGTTATAATTTCTTGAGGTTCACAGTCCTTATGGTAAAACTTTTGTTCATGCTTCTCAAACATCAAAATGTTTATATTTTTATGAAATACGTTATTAATGAGAGTTGAAATCTCATTATAGAATTATTTTTTAGTACGACATTTAATTAGTAGACAACACAACTTGAAAGAAAAAAATTATATTTACTTATCACACTGTTCATTTAGTTTAGAATGTACTTGGCTTGGACTACACATATAGACTGCTTTTTAGGGTTTTATTCAGTAGTGTTGTGCTATAGTGTTTTGGTCTGTAGAGCTGGTAGTAGCCTATAAAGTTAAGTATTTGTTGCTCTTAGATTGTTTGCAGTAGGGGGGAAGCTAATATCTGTTCCTGAAAACACTGGAGTGACATCTTTTTAATTTTAATGATTATTTGTACAGTGGGATTTTTATTAAATCTTAAGAAAATTTGAGGAGTTGCTTTTTTGAATCCAAACGGGATGAGAAATACTGTTTTCTTTTAAGGGCATTGTTTTCATCTATTTCCTGAGGTGTTTAAGAAATAAATATCACAGAATTGCCAGCATCAAAAATGCAAAGATGACTCAGGATTGAGCAAAATTTGGGACAAAAGTCTGTGGCTCACTTCTGTTTGTTTGCTGGACTTAGAGTTTAAGGAAGTTTTATCAGAAGCGGTAAGGGATTTAAACTTTTAGAAAGTGAAACCTCTGATCTTTATGTAATTATACTTTGTCTATTGGAGGATGAAGGACTTTGCATTACATTTTGTGGATTTTGTGATAAAATATCTAGGTTTATATCACTGAAGTTATCAGTATTGCCCACATTCGACTTGCATCAAAATAGTTAGCTCCAATCCCTTCGAAATCAGTGGAAATATCTTTGCTTTCTTCTGTGTCAATAATTTGATAGACCTATCTTGTGTTCTGTTCAGTACAAATATGTTGTATTTAAGTAAGAAGAAATGAACGTAGATCCCTAGTCATTCATAATTGTAATTATATACTTTTATCTTGCTAACGTCATTAGGAGCTAAATTTGAAGCAATTTAACGTCTCTTATTATGTTTTTCTTATAATCTAAGTCCCTAGAGATGATTGTAAGAAAATTAGATCCTTGTATTGATACTTGCAAATTAAATAAGCAGACCTTTTTTTGGTGCTGTAGGTTGCTTGTGGTGGTTGTCACATGCTAGTTTTTGCTGCTCCAAGACCTAAAGGATCTGAAGAAATACTCTTAGAAGATTTATATGAGAGCCGTTTGACTGCTACTATCTCTAAAATGAGTGGAGACTCACTACTAACAAACACCTTACAACTAACATCAGCACGAATGCGACGTCGAGAGAGGGTAAATTCAGAGCTGTTTAGAGTTGCCATACTTGTTTTAGGAAACAAAATAACTTTTTAAACTAAAATCACAGCATATACCCAGCAGATAAATATATCTCCTTAAAATACGTGTTTAATTTTAATGTATAAGAAGAAGAATGAGTATCTACCCTGGTCCCAAAATTGATGCAGGTAAAAGATAGGTATTGGTCAGATTTTACTTCTTTATTTCTATGAAAAAACTCAAATTGGTTTTGTTTTTTTTTTATTCTAAAGTGTAGAGCCTGTTCCTTTGCATTTTTAAAAATATCTTAGAAATACTCAAAAAAAGAACAAGAACCTGACTCTTTTTGGTGTTCCCTCTGAGTCCTTGAATAGATTAAACAAGTTCATAGTTTATAAAATATCAAAGGGGAAAGTTTCACAGTCAGCTTAAAATGATCCTAAGATCCTGTAGCTACTTAATATAGTAGTTTCTTCTCCTTTATCTCCACTACACATTCCATGTGATTTCTTTAGCAGCGCCTGTCTGAAAAATAGCTCTACCACAAAACCACATTTATTTTCTAAAAATATATTGATGCCGTGGATTAAGTAACTCAGTGTTATTTGAGAAACTAGTATTTTCATTTTAAATAAAATCAAAATTCTTTTTATCCTTTGTCTATATTTTAAGACTGCTTGAGATTATTGTATAGAAACGACCTAAAATATCCCACTATCTCTCTCCACTTTTTATAAATAATTAAAATATACAAGAAATTTTATTTATGCTTTGCATACACAGTTACAACACTGTATCATCAACTAAAGGAAAATACCACTGTTAAGTACGAGAGGTTGCTTACATTTTATTCTTCTACTCTTATTCTCAATAATTTTTTTTTTAAATCTTCTAAAGGAAGAGTCGCCAGAACAGTTTGTTCGATTGGCACGAACTCTGCCTCCACTGGGAGAAAGCTTCTTAAAATCTTCATTGCCTGTGACTAGCAACACTAGCCCACTCTGTTTTTCTGCAACAAGTCTTCCTAAAGCTGAACCTGTGAAGGATAGAGACCATGAAAAAGGTGAAGTGTCTCCACATTTTGTTGCTGTTTTCTGAGAATTATGTAGTTTGGGTCTCATAATTCCTAAACAAATGCTCAGTTTGAACATGAAAGAAGGTTTAAGTTCAGTCTTACCTCAAGACGGTCTGGCAGAATACAGACATGAAAGTTGAGAAATGCATACAAGAAATTGCCTCACACTTGGTTCATGTTTGGAAAAATGTGCTTGAAGATTTAGAGGAGGGTTGAGTGAAAGAAAAACAACTTCTGAATTGTACCTGAGGTTTCTCAAGCCTGTGGAAATACGACTTCACAAAAATACTGTAAAATTAGTAACCACTTTCTCCATTTTCACGAAAAAAAAAGAATTACAGAAAAAAATTGATTAGGAACAGTCATAAAGACAGAGGAAGGCCTATGAGAGACCTTGGATAAGAAAAGAGGTCTATGAATTCTTATAGGAGCTTTCTTCTTCGCTTGGAAATGCAAAAGTACTCTTCGCTCTCTGTTATCTAAGATAATAAGGATTTGCAATATTCTAGCTAATGCAAAAGCCTGGATAACAATGATACTGATACAGTGCTGGACTTTTGCACAGATTCTCTAGAGCAGTTCTGGACTCCATCTGGGTTCCTGGGCATCTGTGATTTCCTGGGAAGAGCAGTGCTGAAGAGTGCAGAATGCAGTGCTTCTGTGTAAAAGTTAGCTCAGATTTATTGGACAGTCAAATCCAATTTGAAAGTAATTAATTCAGTTAGAATTAAGATGATTATTTGTAAAGCTGCCAGCATGTCCATTAGCATTTCTGGTTCCAGGAAAGCAATGCAGTGAAATTTGAATTGCCTTTAGAGTCTTCTGAGGCCTAAAACCTGAGGTTTTGTGCCATATGAAACTGGTCATATACCTGATGAAATTGAGGTGAACCTGAAAATTATGTACGTACATTTTTATGATGCTGCATTGGAGTTAAACTCACTGTCTCTCCATCCATTACACAGATAATGTGCAATGTAGATAATACAACTGCAGCTAATTTAGTCTAATTGGTACATTGTTATTAAAGTGATTATCCAAAAGAAGCTTTGTCCCATGTAGTATTTATGCTTTGAAAGCCTGCAAAAATGGTCAGAGATCTACAGTGCAGTGAGGCCAGATTGCTGAGCTACCTCTAATGTTAATACTGATGAAAAGGAGGTGGAAGTGTTACTGCTGTGTCTTAGGCTGGGGGAATGAGGAATCTCAGGACTTCAGTCCTATGTCAGTAAAATAGAGATAATCTCTGTTTTGCAAGAGTGGGGTGTTCTGTTCGCTGTGTATTGCTTGTTCCTATGGTATTTGTTTACTTCCCCCTATTTTACCTTAAAGAAAAGAATCATAAGAAAGATAAACCTGGTGAAGGCTCTGCAGAAGAAGATTCAGATAATGAAAATAATGACAGAAACCTTGGAGATACAACTGACATCCTAAATATGGTAATATATTCCACTAATGAATCTGTGATTCAATCGGTTTTATGCAGGGGAAGAATAAAGCAGCTAAATCATGTTTCAAGTTCCAGTACAGAACTCCTGGCTAGCCCAGAATGTCATATGTGGCATCGAGAAGTACTGACATACTGTTAAATGAGCGTGCATTTCATATTATCATTATCCAATGCTAAAGTTTGTTTTCATTTTCCAAGTAATGTTGTAATATGAGATTGAAGCAGTCCAAGTAGTGCAGCCTCTCTCCCCACGCTTTAGCTTGGGATATCAGAAAGAAAAGGGGAAGGACGCTGGATACCACATGGTGATCTCTATTTCTGACCTTCCTCATCTTGATGATTTCCAAGAAAGAGAACTGCAGGAAATGGAGTGGAGAGCTGTCTTTTCCTGTTCCGAAAAGAGTTTTTTAGTACAGGTGGATCATATTAAAGGTGTCGTGGTTCAACCCCAGCCAGCAACTAAGCACCACACAGCCGCTCGCTCACTTCCCCCCAGTGGGATGGGGCAGAGAGTTGGAAGAGTAAAAGTGAGAAAACTCGTGGGTTG